GATATGCGTCCTGAAGTGCTGATCTGAATCAAATGATTCACAAACCTGCTTCGAAGTTCCGATCTGAATAATGATTCACGAACCCGCTCCATCATTTTAGATCGGGACTTAGTAGCCTATCACAAATCTTTCAGTTTGCACAATGATTCACGAACCCACTCCGAAGTTCCGATCTAAATCAAATGATTTGCAAACCCGCTGGGAAGTTCCGATTTAAATCAAAAGATTTGCGAACCGCTGTGAAGTTCTGATCTAAATCAAATGATTTGCGAACCCGCTGCGAAGTTCCGATCTAAATCAAAAGATTTGCGAACCCGCTGCGAAGTTACGATCTAAATCAAAAGATTTGCGAACCCGCTGCGAAGTTCCGATCTAAATCAAAAAGAATTGTGAACCCGCTGCAAATTTCCGATCTAAATCAAAAGATTTGCGAACCCACTGCGAAGTTCCGATCTAAATCAAAAGATTTGCGAACCCTCTGCGAAGTTCCGATCTAAATCAAAAGATTTGCAAACCCGTGCGAAGTTCCGATCTAAATAAAAAAGAATTGTGAACCCGCTGCAAATTTCCGATCTAAATCAAAAGATTTGCGAAGCCGCTCCGAAGTTGTTCCGATCTAAATCAAACGATTTGCGAACCCTCTGCGAAGTTCCGATCTAAATCAAAAGATTTGCTAATATGGTCTCATACTCCTTGGCAGTCAAAAGTGTCTGAACACCTTAAAATAATTTTAGAACTACTGGAAGAAAATGAACAGATACATCAGCAGTGTCAACATGAAATATATGGATTGTTTTTGTGTTTTTAATGTGAACAGGATCCCAAGGGGAATTTGATTCGACAGTGGCTGTCTGTGGATGGTTTTCTAGGTGTTGTTTCGAAAGAGCTGAACCTCTCTCAGAACCCGCCGCTCGGCCCGTGGAAAATTGTAGCTGGAATCAATGTGAGTTGTGTAAAAACTTGATAGGAAAGTTACTTTTTTGAACTTTTGGCCTATTATTCAAGCTATGTAGGAAAAATAAATGAGCAAGCACAACAATTACTTCACATCAGACTGTTTTTAAAACCTGTAAGTCTAAAGTATAAATCTTTGACATGAAATTCTATTTCTGTTATTATAAATTACACTGTTATTTTTGTGTTAATGCAGGATGTTGTACATGAGAGAGTGTTCACTGTGGACTACTATGGTGAGATTTCACATACGCTGCATATCTTTTATGATCTATGTTTTGTCCAGAGAGCAGTCTTTATTAGCATTTGTTTACAGTGCTGCCTAAATTCGAAGTGAAGGTGGACGTCCCCTCCGTCCTGCATTATGAAGACATACTGACCGGGATGGTCACAGCCAAGTGAGTGTTTGTCCTGAACAGTAGTCTTATTATTTAATAGAAACACAAAATTCATACTTTCTCGCTTCTAAGGTATTTTTATGGGAAGCCCGTCAGTGGAATGATGTCTGTCACATATGTCCACTTTTTCGATGGCCTTGAGAAGCGTTACCAACTTAAAGAAACAGTGAGTACAGTTTCAGAAGAATCATCTACATTTGTAAAATGATGCACCTTTTTTTCAGCCGATACTGATGAACAACAAATCTATTATATTAATTGGTATTTATTTTTGTATATTATAATCACACTCACATACAGGCTAAACACTCTTTGGAATAATTGGATGGGAGGTGGCAGCGCATTACAAAAAATGTTTGCTGAAGGGAAAACTGCGGACCTGGCAACCCTGGCTTGAACTACAGGTGGTTCATTGGGTCAAATAAAACCAGCATTAAAGTGTTAGTTCACCCAAAAATGAAAATTCTGTCATTAATTACTCACCCTCGTGTTGTTCGAAACCCGTAAGACCTTCGTTCATCTTCGGAACACAATTTAAGATATTTTTGATGAAATATGAGGGCTCTCTGACCCTCCCATAGACAGCAAGGTAACTACCAGGTTCAAGGTCCAGAAAAGTACCAAGATGATCGACAAAGTAGTCCGTGTGACATCAGTGGTTCAACTGTAAAGTTACAAAGCTAAATACTTTTTTGTGCAAAGAAATGACGCGAGCGTGTGGCGGCGCATAATGACGTCATCACGCTGGATCTGGGTCAGCGCCGCCACACGCTCGCGTCATGGTACTTTCGTGAACACGCATCCACAAGTGACGCAGTAGAGATGAATATGTGGAATAAAGTCGTTATTTTTGTTTTCTTTGCGCAAAAAAGTATTCTCGTAGCTTCGTAACTTTACAGTTGAACCACTGATGTCACACGGACTACTTTGCCGATCATCTTGGTACTTTTCTGGACCTTGAACATAGTAGTTACCTTGCTGTCTATGGTTTCATCAAACATATCTTAAATTGTGTTCTGAAGATGAACGAAGGTCTTACGGGTTTGGAACAACACGAGGGTGAGTAATTAATGACAGAATTTTTCTTTTCATTTTTGGGTGAACTAACCCTTTAAGGGCGCTGCGTTAGTGCATTGTTATTGCTTTAACGTTAACAGCCCCAAATTAAACATAAGAGACATTTTCTTAACGCAAGTTGCTGTTTGACATATTTCCCCTGCTTTGATTGACAGGATATCGGCCCTGATCATAGGCTGCCAATGGTGCAGATAATTGCCCTATATCAGTTGGTACCGATTATTGGCCGATACATTGGTGCATCCCTATTTGAAACCCCATGCATTGTTTTATTAACTGTTAATCAGACTCATTATCTCTGGTGTAGATTGACGGTTCTGCTGCTTTCACATTTGATGTGTCGAACTCCAAACGGTTAGGTGACTACATATATTCCTATTACGATGAATATGGGCCCAGTGAATATGTCGACATTATCGTGAATGTCACAGATGCTACAGGTGCGTCCCGTCCTGCTTGCACCTGGCTATCAAACATTAATAACATGAACTAAAGTGCATTCAAATGAATACACAAATCGAGATGTCCTTTAAGGTTCAATTTGAGCTGATTTTCATTTCTCTTTCTGTAGGGTTAACCTACAACAGCAGCGCGAGGGTTTCTTTTGTGAAGAATAAATATATTCTGGAATTTCTGCAGCATCCACAGATCATAAAACCCTCCATGACCTTCACTGCTCAGGTAAAGACAGAACAAAAAAAAAACCAAAAAAAAAACAGCAGTGTTACATTTCAGTCCATATTTAGGGTAAACTGGGTGAATCAGGAAGTCATGCCTCACCCTAAAATCAAAAGAAAAATAAACAATTGTATTATACACACAAAAAATGAAATCTATTTTTACATTAAGAATTAACATTAAGGTTGGCGCCGATAGCTTTGTGGGCAGCGTGTCGACAAACAGCACCATTGCGCTATAGGCATCCCAGGTTCCAATCCCGACTCGAGGACCTTTCCTGATCCTGCCCCCCTATCTCTCTCCCACTTCGCTTCCTGTTCATTCTGATCTGTCCTATCATAATAAAGGTGAAAATGCCAAAAAGAATTAACATTAAGAATGAATGTATTGTGACATTATTTTCATGACAATTAACTAAAATTGTGTGATGTGTCTATGTATCATTGCCATAATGCAGGTATGTTTTATTTACGGATTTTCTTTATTACACAAAATTACTGTAGTACAAAAAAGCCCACAATGATTTATAAATAATACAGATTTACATAAGATATAATTACATATTATTGACAGTAAAACCACTTAGAAAATACACTAAAACGTACAAACAACATCTTCTCAATTGCGCTCGGCAGCATCCAGTTCATACTCAGCTCATTATCCTAAGGTTTTCTTAGTGGATTTTAGTGTTTATTATAATTTTTTCACATTAATGTCAGTATTTTAATAATATATCAATATTTCTCACATTAAGGAGAGTTGGGACGTGTTAGTTGTCATGAAAATTATGCCACAATGCAAAAAATGTAATGGTTCTAAAGAATAGGCTTCATTTAAATTAAAGGGTTTTTATCAAAATAATGTCATTATGCAAACATATTCTAAAAAAAAGAGAACAATACAGTTTTGTTTTCTTTATGCATTTTCTTGTATTTATTGATTTGGTTTTGTTTTTTGTTTATTTATTTAAACGTTTAATTTTTGTGAAAATTGACCTGACATGACCGATAGATTCATCCTTTTTTCCCCAATATTTTTATTTTATAAGCTGAAGTTAAGCACCTATGACAGCCGGCCGCTGTCAGCTGAAGAGCAGAGCAGAAGCGTGCGGCTGGCGGTGACCCAGAACAAGTTCAGCCCCTGGACGTGGACGTGGAACAGCGAAGAATCCCCAGAGCCTCGCACAACAAACGACAAACCAACGACCAGCTTCTCTCCCATTTACGATATTCCAGTCGAAAATATGGATCTTCCTGTTACTGCTGATGGTGTGATGTCTTTCCAGATTCACCTCTCTGACAGCATTGCCACACTTGATATAGAGGTGCGAACACTTCATCCATGCTTTCCACCGCCTTGATATCGCTATGCATAAAGCATGCTGACCTCTCTTCCTCCTGATGTTGCTTTCAGGCCCGGTTTGAAGACACAGTCCAGCGTCTTCAGCTCTACAGGAGTTATTCTTCACCGAGCAGATCCTACATACAGCTTCACAGAGACAGTGAGCCTCAGGTACTCAAGCTGTTTGTGTTTCATGCTGCTATTTTTGTTTTCATTGTGTCTTCACTGACAGAGTGACTTTTGCAGGTTGGACAGCCGCTGGTTTTGACTTTGGAGAGCAATTTTAACCTGACAGAATTTCACTACCTCGTAAGTATTTTGGATAAAGCGATAACCAAAAACGTAACTATTGAGCCAGTACTGATAAACTCTGTAAGAGAAACCTCCATTTGTCAATCAATCAATCAATCAATCAATCAATAAGAAGTCGGAAAGTTCTAACAACCTTTTTGAAGTAGGAGATTTCATGATGGGTTTAAATTCTGCAATTTATTTAGAATTATTTATTAATTTAGAAGAAATTACAAAGAATTTGTTTTACTGAAATTATATTTAATTTATTTAATTATTTGTAATACATTAAATGTATTTGTGAATATTATAATTTTTTCACATTAATGTCAGTATTTTAATAATATATCAATATTTCTCACATTAAGGAGAGTTGGGACGTGTTAGTTGTCATGAAAATTATGCCACAATGCAAAAAATTTAATGGTTCTAAAGAATAGGCTTCATTTAAATTAAAGGGTTTTTATCAAAATAATGTCATTATTGTCATAATGGCAAACATATTCTAAAAAAAAGAGAACAATACAGTTTTGTTTTCTTTATGCATTTTCTTGTATTTATTGATTTGGTTTTGTTTTTTGTTTATTTATTTAAACGTTTAATTTTTGTGAAAATTGACCTGACATGACCGATAGATTCATCCTTTTTTCCCCAATATTTTTATTTTATAAGCTGAAGTTAAGCACCTATGACAGCCGGCCGCTGTCAGCTGAAGAGCAGAGCAGAAGCGTGCGGCTGGCGGTGACCCAGAACAAGTTCAGCCCCTGGACGTGGACGTGGAACAGCGAAGAATCCCCAGAGCCTCGCACAACAAACGACAAACCAACGACCAGCTTCTCTCCCATTTACGATATTCCAGTCGAAAATATGGATCTTCCTGTTACTGCTGATGGTGTGATGTCTTTCCAGATTCACCTCTCTGACAGCATTGCCACACTTGATATAGAGGTGCGAACACTTCATCCATGCTTTCCACCGCCTTGATATCGCTATGCATAAAGCATGCTGACCTCTCTTCCTCCTGATGTTGCTTTCAGGCCCGGTTTGAAGACACAGTCCAGCGTCTTCAGCTCTACAGGAGTTATTCTTCACCGAGCAGATCCTACATACAGCTTCACAGAGACAGTGAGCCTCAGGTACTCAAGCTGTTTGTGTTTCATGCTGCTATTTTTGTTTTCATTGTGTCTTCACTGACAGAGTGACTTTTGCAGGTTGGACAGCCGCTGGTTTTGACTTTGGAGAGCAATTTTAACCTGACAGAATTTCACTACCTCGTAAGTATTTTGGATAAAGCGATAACCAAAAACGTAACTATTGAGCCAGTACTGATAAACTCTGTAAGAGAAACCTCCATTTGTCAATCAATCAATCAATCAATCAATCAATAAGAAGTCGGAAAGTTCTAACAACCTTTTTGAAGTAGGAGATTTCATGATGGGTTTAAATTCTGCAATTTATTTAGAATTATTTATTAATTTAGAAGAAATTACAAAGAATTTGTTTTACTGAAATTATATTTAATTTATTTAATTATTTGTAATACATTAAATGTATTTGTGAAGAATGTGAACCTGCAAATGTATTATTTTACATATGAATACATATTAATGTTTAAATATTAATAATAAATTAATTAAATATAATGTTATTTAGTTTTTCATATATATTTTGAAGAAAATCAGACATTTAAAAATAAAATACATTTATTTTGCATTGCAGACTAAATCGTGTTTAATCTGTAAAATCATGTCACTAAGTCCAGTACCACTGTAAAAAAATATTTTTTTACACTTTTGCATAGTACTTATTACGGAAATAATATACTTCAAATGAATATACAAACTGAACGTGATGTTTTCCGTATATTTGCAAAAAAAGAGAAAATGTATTATATTTTAAATTAATATTAAATGCAATTATTTGAACTTAAGATTGCTTTTTTGATCAGCTTAAGTAGGACTTAAGTACATCTTTATATGTAATTTCATAATTACGTTTTTGTCTTTGAAATATGGTTAAAGTGTACTGCTGAATGTACTGACTGGTGTTTATGGTAAACTAAAATATACTTCTATGTCTAAGCTTGTTTTTAAGCATGTATTTAAATATATTATTTTTACTTTATATTTTGTATTATATCACATATCTGTAAATATGAAGTTGCTATGTAGTTCATTTAAAATGTAGTATATTTACCAACTTTAAATTTAATATTGAATAAAACACTAGTTAAATTAAATTAAATATAATTAAATGCTTTGGATGTGTTGTGGTATGTTAGTACTTCTTTAGAGCACAACAAAGCATTATTAAAAAAATATTAAAACATTTTTATTTTTATAGGCTACTTTTTGTTTCATTAATATTATATGTATAGTTGTTTTATATACATACCTTGAAGATTAGAAGTACACTACAAGTGCACATTCAATATGATTAAGCACAAAAGGATGTCCCGTTAATGACATTTGTGAGAATGAGCCTGTTTTGATGGATGTGTTCTGCAGGTGATGTCCCGCGGTCGGGTGGTGGATGCTGGGACGGTACATTCCTCCTCCTTCAGTCTGAACACAGATCACTCTTGGACTCCAGTGGCTTGTGTGGTGGTGTACCACACGCTTCCAGATGGAGAGATCGTGAATGATGCTCTGCAAGTTACTTTCACTCAAGTCCTGAGAAACACGGTAAGAGTTCAGCACGGGATATATAAATGTTTGTAAATACAACATTAGTAAAGATTAAGATGGAAATTCATAAATGTGATTGATTTTATTTCTAAATTAATTCAGTACTTATGTAGTCGTTGATTTAGCCTATTTTTGTTAGGCTAAAACCTTTGTTAGGCCTATTTTTTCTTTATGAATTTTGACATGCTGAATACAAAAATCACATTACTTTTTGTGTATCATTAACAGTGCTCAGTGCTAAAACTAAAAACAAAGATGTTGACAACTTATACAAACTAATCTGTTATTACAAATGACATGGTCGGAGAGATCGTGAATGATGCTCTGCAAGTTACTTTCACTCAAGTCCTGAGAAACACGGTAAGAGTTCAGCACGGGATATATAAATGTTTGTAAATACAACATTAGTAAACATTAAGATGGAAATTCATAAATGTGATTGATTTTATTTCTAAATTAATTCAGTACTTATGTAGTCGTTGATTTAGCCTATTTTTGTTAGGCTAAAACCTTTGTTAGGCCTATTTTTTCTTTATGAATTTTGACATGCTGAATACAAAAATCACATTACTTTTTGTGTATCATTAACAGTGCTCAGTGCTAAAACTAAAAACAAAGATGTTGACAACTTATACAAACTAATCTGTTATTACAAATGACATGGTACATGCATAATACTGAGCTAACAACAGTTTAACATAAACAGCTTCCAAAAGCGAGTCAAGTGTACATTGTATGATGTTTGTATTTTATGACTAGCCCCACAGTGTTCTGGAATGTTCCGGAATGTTCCAGAAAGGACTAGAATATTATAGAATGTTACAGAAACTAAAGCAAAACATCTTTAGAATTAGTGCAAAAGGAGTACAAAAACGTATCTGTACTAAACCAGTGTTTCATAATTAATGACTTACCTGACCTAAATATTCATCCAAATATTTATGCTATGTACAATAATAATTAATAGGGCTGGGTAAAAAAATATCGACATCTCGATTTTAATCGATTCTCATTTTTACGAAACGATATCGATTCTGAAATCCCAAGAATCGATTAGTCTAACCTGTTTTCAGTTAACAGATGGAACATTGAAGCGCACCTCCCATCCTATAAATCGCAATAAGCATTGTGCGTTGGTACTTTTAATATGTCTCAGATTTTAAATTCTGTCCATTGTATTGCAGTATTCAAACAATAAATGCCGTTTTGTTGCTGTTTAATGTGGAGTGACAGATCGCTGTAGACGCGGCAGCGCAAGACGCACGTGAACTGATCATCTCCTCCACATTAATACCAGTTTCAGCACAAAATAAACATGACTAAACATCTGAAGTTAAAAGAAAGTGTACAACTTTGCAATCCGTATCCTGCCTTGTAAACAATTCATGTAACATCACATTTACCTCAGAAAAACATATTCGGTGACCATAAACTCATTAGTCAGCCAGAAGAATAAACTGTAGAGAGGAGCATTTTGCTAAATATATGCACCATATAACATTCATTATTTAAAAAAAAATTCTTTAATGTTTTATTTATGTTTGAATAAATCCGTCCCAAGTTTTTATGACAGCCACTATTTAAATGTGTATATTTAAAAAAACTAACTGAAGTAATTGTAACTTAATTATTATAAAAACTCTATTAAGTGCAATTTAAGCAGTTGTACAGCACAAATGAGTAAATTTTAACCTTCAATATTATAGTAATGTAGCACCAACTGACTCTCATGTATATTTTACAGCATTAGTTTTTTCCTTGAGAAAAATTGGTATGTATTGTACTGATATGTATCCAAAATAATCGATATTGAATCGAATCGTGAAATTTGGGTCAAAACCCAGCCCTAATACTTAGCACCACAGAAGTACAGAAGAACCATAAAATAATTTAAGTGAAACAATTTTTTGTGACATTGTGTAATAAACAAGATAAACAAGTATGTATCATTTACAGTATATATTTATATAATAAAAATGATTTGTTTTATTATAAATGATATAAAAATAAATGAATATAAATTGTGAATGAATATACATACACAGTGTGAACTGAATGTAATGTTTTTTGACATTTAATCACATCTTTTGCAATAAAAAAAAAAATGTATTGTAGTTTAAATTTGCATGAACTTCAGTCATTTGACCGTTGAATTATTCTAGTTTTTCACTCTGAAATTTCTCACATTATTGAAGTAATGTGGCTTGTAGTGTCATTATAGTAATGATACTTGATCTCATTTGCAGGTATCTCTGAGCTGGAGTCAGGATCGTGCCGAACCAGCAGATTCCGTCTCTCTCTCCGTGTCTGTATCCGAGCCCGGATCTCTGCTGGGAATTCTGGTGGTGGACAAAGCAGCATTGGACTCCAGCAAAGACAATGGCATCACAGAGAAGACGGTAATATGATCTTATACAGGTTCGAGATCATTGACATCAACACGGGGCAATATGGAGATCCTTTGTTTTCCGGGTTTCTCACCTCATTTCTTATCTCGTTCAGTGTATTGAGTTTTAAAGTGTGGGAAATCATCAGACGATTGTTTTTCCCACAAAAAGGTCACGTGATAACTAAAACTGGTCATCCTATGTAACCAAACGCGGACACCACGCCCGCGTTTCACTTTTAGACAAAAGAAAGAAACCGAGAGGAACTGTGTTTATCAGAACTAGGTGAACAGGATTGATGCTGCAGACAGCATTGTGTTGTTCTGAATTCAAAACAATGGCCGGTTTGTGGCGGCCAAACAGCAGCTTGTTCTATTCAAATGATGTCAGGCATCACAAAAACTGATCAAAACTAATCTAAGATCAGCAACATGAGCTTCTGTGTGTGTTTTTCAGGTGCTGGAGGAATTCATGTCGTATAGCAGAGAGATGACCCATGCGGATTACAGCAGCGTAAAATTGGGAGATCCGTATTATATATTCATGGTAGATTTTTATCTCAGGAACAGAACATGTCTCACTTGTCCGCACAGGGTTTACGGTTGTTGTTTTATTCTGCAGACGTGCGGCGTCACGGTTCTGACCGATGCCAAGCTGGATCAGGAAAGGAGTCAAATATTCTTTGCGTTCCGTAAGTCTTAAGGCTGAATCTACCCTAGCAACCACTCAGAACACCATAGTAACCATCAGTGTTGGGAAGGTTACTTTGGAAATGTAATAGGTTACAGATTACAAGTTACCCTATTAAAAATGTAATAAGTAGTGTAACTATTTCAGTTACTTTATTAAAGTAATGTAACTGATTACATTTGAGTACTACTTTTTTTTAAACTATTTTAAATCGCTAATGAATGTTTTCAACTGTTATTCATTTTCAAACATGTAAAGCAGGCAGGGTTAACCTTACAGTAGCGCTCAGCACTGATTACTGTCAGACTTTCAAAATCCTTCATCACTTGAATTAAGATTAGAAAAATGTTATTTTAAAGCACAGCCACCACAAAATCAGCACCTCTTTTTACTTTGAGATCATTCTGAGGTTATACACTGATTTAAAATCATAACGAGATACAGTTTAATAGCTATGATACTGATTTGGAAATCAAATCTTTGCATAGCTATGACTAACAATGCCTTATTAAAAAATAAAGCATATACATAAACCCAAATAGAAAATAAAACAGTTATCGAATAAACGTGTTCTATTCTGTGTCCTAAACTCCTTAAACATGTGTACCCCTTTTGTAATTGTTAACATTATTCTAAGTAACTGTAATTTAATTACACAGATTACAGTTACATTTATTTAGTAATTAAGTTACGTAACTCTGTTACATGTAACTAGTTACTCCCCAACACTGGGAACCATCTAGTACAGAGGTGCCCAAGCTCAGTCCTGGAGGGCCGGTGTCCTGAAGAGTTTAGCTCCAACCCCAATTAAACACACCTGAACCAGCTTATCAAGCTCTTAGTAGGCATACTATAATCTTGAAGGCAGGTGTGTTGAGGCAAGTTGGAGCTAAACTCTGCAGGACACCGGCCCTCCAGGACCGAGTTTGGGCACCCCTGTTCTAGTAACACCCTGGCAACCAATCAAAACAGAGTGACATCATGTTGATGAGTTTTGCGCTCATTTCCTTAAGCTGAGGTGAACAGGGTCAAATTTAGATATCATCGTATTTCCCTAGCTAATTAATCACAGTACATTAAGACATGCAAATTAGGCATGATGTAATTAAATATGCACTAATTAGCATACTTCTCAAGAAATAGATAAAGCCATTTTCAAAATTCTTGTTTCATTTTGCCGAGTTAAAGGTTTTTACAGAAGGGATTTTGAATCTCTCTTTTTTTTATCACTCCATAAATCAGATACTACTGTCAACAGCCAGATTTTTTTTTAAATTTTACCACGTTTTAAAGGGGTGGTTCATTGCGATTTCACGTTTTTAACGTTATTTAGTGTGTAATATTGCCTTTTAAAGGATTAAAATGTTATATAAATCAGGTGAATTATATATAAGCAAACACCTCTGTAAAAACCTTCAGAATATAGATATGAATAAAACGAATCAGTTCGGTGTATATAAGTGCTGCTGAAGTGGAGGTTTCTGGCTCAATCCAGGAGAAAAACTCATTTTGAGAAAACAGATATGCATAATAATTTAAATCGACATTGATAATAATCAGAAATGTTTCTTGAGCAGTAAATCAGCATATTAGAATGATTTCTGAAGGATCATGTGACACTGAAGACTGGAGGAATGATGCTGAAAATTCAGCTTTGATCACAGGAATAAATTACATTTTTTAAATATATTAAAACTGAAAACAGTTATTTTAAATTTTAAAAATATTTCACGATATCACTGTTTTACTGTATTTTTGTTCAAATAAATGAAGCATAAAATACATCTTTACCATATTCTTTAATATATATATTCCTAGATTAGTATTTCTGCAATGTCTGTAGACTATAGTCACATGAGGAATAAAATAAACACTAAAATGTGTATTTCAAGTGTTTTCTTTCCACTGGTCTAAAAGAAATGTAATGATGCAAGATAGTGTAAAATCTTGAAATTGACCAGTACATGAAAAAACAATAGATTTGCCTGTAATGTCTTGCATTTTCATAACCATTTTCTCACTAACGCTCATATGTTCCACCGCAGGGCCGGAAATCCTTATGAATCAGCAGGATAGCGGTGGTTTTCAGGAGCCCAGAAAGCGAACAGACTTTCCTGAAACCTGGATCTGGCTGGATGCTAATGTGAGGTACGAGGACATATATGTCTATCTTTGAGCTGATTTTAACTTGGAAATAACAAGAAATCACACATGAGATCTGTTTAATATCCAAGTTGTTTCTCCTAGACGGCAATGAGTGAAGCAACGTTTGCTTCAGCATCATTACTCCAGTCTTTAGAGTCACATGATCCATCAGAAATTATTCTAATATGCTGATTGTTGTGCTGCTTCATATTTTTGTGTAAAGCATGATACAATTTTTCCAGAATATGTCAATAGAAAGTTAAAAAAGAACAGCATTTATTTAAAAATAGATTTTTTTAATATTAGAAATATCTTTACTGTCACTTTTGATCAATTTAATGCACCCTTGCTGAATAAAAGTATTAATTTCTTTGATCTGAAGTCAGAAAATGAAGTTTCAAATGAAGTCGGCGTCTCAATTTTTTCCCCTAAGAATGATCTGAGCTTCTATCGACGTTTGTTTTATGTCAACAATTTACTAATTTGTGTCTGTTCTTATTTATGTTGCAGTAATTCTGCCTTGGATTCCTTCCAGTTCACCGTGCCGGACAGCTTGACCTCCTGGGTGGCCTTTGCCATCGTGATGTCAGAGAATCTGGGTTTGGGCATCAGCGCTCCTGCAGAGGTGACGCATCATGTGCAATTGATCTGTCACTCAGCGTTTCATATATATAATACAGATAATGATTATTAAAAAGGAGTTTCTTTCCCAGTTGACTGTGTTCCAAGATTTCTTCGTGTCACTGAATCTCCCGGCGTTCCTGATCCGTGGGGAACTGCTACTGCTGGAAGTCAATTTATTCAACTATATGGATGTAGATATGGAGGTGAGATTTGTGTTTGTAAAATAGTCAGTACTGTGTAGTTCGGAAGTATCGAAACTTTGAATTATTGATGCTAGAAAACATATTTATTAGTGTTTGTTATAGGAATAGTTCACCCAGAAATGAACACTTGCTGAAAATGTACTCACCCCTCAGGCCATCCAAGATGTAGTTTGTTTCTTCATCAGATTTGGAGAAATGTAGCATTGCATCACTTGCTCACCAATGGATACTCTGCAGTGAATGGGTGCCGTCAGAATGAGAGTCCAAACAGCTGATGAAAACATCACAATAATCCACAAGTAATCCACACCATGTTAATCAACATCTTGAGAAGTAAAAAGCTGTGTGTTTGTAAGAAACAAATCCTTAAACTTTAAACCATTGCTTTTAACTTTAAACTGTCGCTTCTGGCCAAAATACTATATTCTATAATACGTAATAATGCTTCCTTCAGCGAAAAAGGCCTCACATCAAAATCCACCCACATATTTGTTTGGAACTGTTTTGACATGTAAACGGTGCTTGATCTGTGCATATTTCTCTCCTGATTCAGACGAGACAACATATTTAACGGGAAAAAGCAATATTATAGATAGAGAACTTGTTTTTTAGCCAAACATTTTTTAAAATTAAAAACATCTTAACAATAGAATTGTTTATTATAACACAGACCTTTTCATTTCACAAGACGTTAATTGATGGACTGGAGTGGTGTGGATTACTGTGATGTTTTTATCAGCTGTTTGGACTCTCATTCTGACGGCACCCATTCACTGCAGAGCATCCATTGCTGAGCAAGTGATGCAATGCTACATTTCTCCAAATCTGTTCCCATGAAGAAACAAACTCCTCTACATGTTGGATGGCCTGTGGGCGAGTATTTTTTTTTTTTTAGCACATATTCATTTTTGGGTGAACTGTTTCTTTAAGGCAGCATCATTATCAAAATTTGTGTTAGTTATTTGAACAAACCACTGACTCACAGTATTAAACCCTGGCACACAAATAAACAAAAGTAAACATTTTTTGTGAATTTTTATTTGTGAATTGAAGTCAGCTAAATGACAAATGACCTGAAGCTCTCTTCATGTCTTCTTTAACTGTCACAGGTGATGGTTGTGGTTGCAGAAAGTTGGATGTTTGAGTTTGTGTCACCAGACAATGGAGGATTTTCCTTGGACAACGTGAGGAAAGCCTTAGTGTCGAGTCAGAACATCACATCGCTTCTGTTCCCCATCAGAGCCACAGCGCTGGGAGAGATTCCCATCTCCGTCAAAGCCACGTCTGTCTACTCTTCAGACTGGGTCTACAAGACGGTTCTTGTCAAGGTGATTCATTTCAGTATAATATTTCACCCCAAAATTAAAAGAGAAAAATCGTTGGCCTATTTTGCATAAAGAAAATTAAGGTTATTTTGCAATTATTTATGCATTTATTCGTTCATTTATTTATCTGTTTATTTATGGATTTATTTATTATTCATGACTACAATGCTTGTGGACATTTTTAGCTTTTTTCTCATTGTGTCTGATGCTTCTATATTTTTTTAAAGCAATGGAAAATCTGTAATATGTTAATGTTTTTATTTTAATAAATTAAAGACTATTTATTTGGACATTTCACGACAATTTGTGCCTCATGTGTTCATGACTTCAATGCATCTGGACATTTTTAGCTTTTTTTCCCCTCATTCTGAATGATTCTATTTATTACAGCAAACCAAATCTGTAATACACTGGTGTTTTAAATAAACTGAAGACACTCCAACAATGTTTAACATGTGCAACAGCCTGGGAAAGTGGAAAATCCTACTAAACTTTTTTGTTGTTGCTGAATGATTTTTCTCTAGCCAGAGGGACTGGAGCAATCATACTCTCAAACCTTGTTTCTGGAGTTTCAACTGAAGCAGAACATGCTGACTAGGACAATGTCGTTTAGTTTTCCTGCAAATGTGGTTCCTGACAGTCAAAGGGCCAGTGTGTCTGCTGTGGGTATGTGTCCTCACTCTGTATTTCTATTCTAAGAGGACAATATTTTGCATATTGAGTGCAAACATCTCTCCCCTGTATGTGTATGTTGAAGGTGACATTCTGGGCCCATCCATTGGCAATCTGGACTCTCTCATTGAGATGCCTTATGGTTGTGGAGAGCAGAACATGATCCATTTTGCTCCAAATATTTATGTTCTCCAGTACATGAGAATCACCAAGCAGACTGATGAACAGACCAGAAACAAAGCTATGAGCTACATGATGGAAGGTAAACGCTGTGTAGTCTAGTTGAAATGCTTGTGGACATTTTTAGCTTTTTTTCTCATTGTGTCTGGTGCTTCTATATTTTTTTAAAGCAATGGAAAATCTGTAATATGTTAATGTTTTTATTTTAATAAATTAAAGACTATTTATTTGGACAGTTTTCACGACAATTTGTGCCTCATGTGTTCATGACTTCAATGCATCTGGACATTTTTAGCTTTTTTTCCCCTCATTCTGAATGATTCTATTTATTACAGCAAACCAAATCTGTAATACACTGGTGTTTTAAATAAACTGAAGACACTCCAACAATGTTTAACATGTGCAACAGCCTGGGAAAGTGGAAAATCCTACTAAACTTTTTTGTTGTTGCTGAATGATTTTTCTCTAGCCAGAGGGACTGGAGCAATCATACTCTCAAACCTTGTTTCTGGAGTTTCAACTGAAGCAGAACATGCTGACTAGGACAATGTCGTTTAGTTTTCCTGCAAATGTGGTTCCTGACAGTCAAAGGGCCAGTGTGTCTGCTGTGGGTATGTGTCCTCACTCTGTATTTCTATTCTAAGAGGACAATATTTTGCATATTGAGTGCAAACATCTCTCCCCTGTATGTGTATGTTGAAGGTGACATTCTGGGCCCATCCATTGGCAATCTGGACTCTCTCATTGAGATGCCTTATGGTTGTGGAGAGCAGAACATGATCCATTTTGCTCCAAATATTTATGTTCTCCAGTACATGAGAATCACCAAGCAGACTGATGAACAGACCAGAAACAAAGCTATGAGCTACATGATGGAAGGTAAACGCTGTGTAGTCTAGTTGAATATTTCTGAGACAAAGAGCAAATGTCCTTGACTTATCATATATATTCTGTTTGACTGTAGCTTATGAACGTGAGCTTTCCTACCAAAGGCTTGATGGCTCCTTCAGTGCTTTTGGAGACAGTGATGATTCTGGCAGCACATGGTATACAGAAACACATTACAGCTTAAATTCTACCCTAAAATTCTGAGCAAATACCATTTTTATTCCACTTCATTCCTCTTTTCAGTTCAGTGCTGATTATAGATCTGATGGATGAAAAATGATGTGTGTGTGAATGATTGGAGGTGTGTTTTGTGATATTCAGGCTGTCAGCGTTCGTGCTCAGGTGTTTCCTCCAGGCTCAGGACTTAATTTCCATCGACCCGATGGTGATGCAGAGGATAGCAATATCAAACATCTTCATTCCTCTTTTCAGTTCAGTGCTGATTATAGATCTGATGGATGAAAAATGATGTGTGTGAATGATTGGAGGTGTGTTTTGTGATATTCAGGCTGTCAGCGTTCGTGCTCAGGTGTTTCCTCCAGGCTCAGGACTTAATTTCCATCGACCCGATGGTGATGCAGAGGATAGCATATTGGCTACTGGCTCATCAGAACGCTGATGGTTCGTTCGAGGAGCCGGGTCGGGTCATCCACACAGAGCTCCAGGGAGGACTGGATGGGCCGGTGTCTCTCACGGCATACATCCTTATAGCGCTTCTGGAGGATGCTGAATACAGGGTGAGTTAGAGAGACTGAATGATGGAACGATAGACAGTCAGACAGACAGACAGACAGATAGATAGATAGACAGATAGATAGATAGACTGAAAGACAGACAGATAAATAGATAGATAGATAGGTAGACAGACAGACAGACAGATAGATAGATAGATAGATAGATAGATAGATAGATAGATAGATAGATAGATAGATAGATAGATAGACTGATAGACAGACAGACAGACAGACAGATAGACAGATAGATAGATAGATAGATCGAAAGATCGAAAGATAGATAGATCGAATGATAGATAGATAGATAGACTGAAAGACAGACAGATAGATAGACAGACAGACAGACAGACAGACAGACATAGATTTATAGATTGATCGATAGAACGATTGAATGATAGAATGATAGATCGATTGAACATAGGATGGATGGATTGATTGATTGAAGATCTGTTTGTGTCTCTGGTAGAATGCATTTGAAGGCAGCATTTCTTCTGCCGTGAGTTTCCTGACGTCTCGACTGGCTCAGAGAATCTCCAGTAACTACAGCCTGTCTTTAGTGACCTATGCTCTGTCACTGGCCAACAGCACCGCCGCCCCATCTGCCCTCACCGAGCTGTTGAACAGAGCACTAATTGTTGGTAAATATCCTCTGGATTTATACTCTAAAGACAGCACGCCACAGATGTGAAACACACACAAAGCTAAAAATAACCTGCAATTTTCCTTTAAAGGGGTCAAATGATGCTATTTTAAAGATCATTATTTTGTGTATTTGGTGTAACAGAATATGTTGACATG